AGGCTGCGTTCAGGTTTACTAAGTTCTGAGTAGGGCTGACTTTATCTACCAAAAAATTAATATTTAGACACACTTAAATAAATATACCTTGCATTGTTTTATTATAGATTTTTTAAGGAAATCCTTTCGCTCCAGTTGAGTCGAAACAATTGTAGTAGTCAATATACGATAAATTAAAATAAAAAATCCATAAAAATTCCTAAAATTAAATAATAAATAGTATATGAGGCATTACTCGTTGAAATTTTGAAAATAAAAAAAAAATTAGTTAAATACAAAAATTAATTTGATTCTTTCAAATCAGCTGCTAGTAACCTGTCCGTGATTTGGCAACGCTGTCCTTCGGTTGTTTACATTTTCATTTGCACAATATAACCTTAACCATGTTTAAGTTTTTGCAGTCAGTGTAAATAAATAAATTAGTTTGGATTTATTGAATGGTCTGAAGCTCGCGCGCTACGCAATGTTGCCAAATGTTTTGATTCCATTTTAATGTAGGTTACTTGAGAATTTTTTGTGATTTTTAATTATTAATTTCTCAATAAATATCTCGGTAACTGATCTATTTTATTGCAAAAAAAGAAACCTGAATATTTTGAAAATCTAATTTTTAGTTTTTTTTTTTTTACTCATCTAATCCATGACTGATAGTATAATTCGAGAAATACTGCCAAACGTCTGACTTTCTCGTAAGACTCTGAACAAATACTAGCAATTTTAAAAATTTTATTTTTTCAAAAATTTGTCCGGTAAAGTATAATTTAAACCTCACTATTAGATAAATAAGGACCTTAACTATTAGAAAAAAATTGAATTTACTTATAATCTAATATTTTTTATTTTACATTGGCGGCGAAAGGACCTCCTTAATACCTAAAGATTTTCATCAGTGAATAGGTAAATAAAAAGAAAATAATGATTGTTGATGTTATAAAAACTATATCAAATTGTGGTTATAAATTTATAATTTGGATGGATATAACTTTTTTTAATTGTTTTCAAAATTGTATATTTTTTTTTTTACATTCGATTTGTTTGCGAGATTGTAATGTCTTTGAAATTAAAATAATGATAAAATTTGATCAAAATAAACTTTTCAATAAATTTTTAACTTTCAGTAGTTAAAGTCAATCAATTTAATATTTTATTCAATTTCTTCGTTTAAAGTCCTAGGAAGCTATTCTTTCTATTCTCGAGAGGATTTCACGGTGTTTATCAATTACTGTACAGGTACCAATTCGTGCAACCTTCTATTTCTCTCCCTCCCTAATATTTCTTTTAAAAAAACCAACTGTGAATTTTTACAATAGTTGAATTGTAAAGTTCACAAACACATATTGTATAATTTGCTCTATAGTATACGACTTTTTAAAACTCTTGCTAGTCTTATTTGTTGGATAAAATTTACAATAGTAGATCGTAAAAATTACTAAATGAGAAGTATAGTCCACCGTTACTATTTTATTTAGTAAAAATTACAATAGTAAAATAGTAATAACTCCTTCAATTTTCTTCCCGTGTACTTGACTATTTTTTAATTTAATTTAACAATTTAATTTGTTCTGAAAAATTATTTTTAAAAAATTGTATTTTGAATTTTTTCAAATTTCTGCATGTCATTATTTTGCGGTAATTTATTTCTTAAAAAATTTGAAAAAACTATCAAATATCTGCTATTTTAATTTTCATTTTAATTATGGCTTACCTGATAAACGTAAAATGACACATTTGAATCCTTCGTTGTCTTTGTTGTATTTATACACATTGTTTTTAGTTAAAACATTGTATTCACTGAAATTAAGAATGTAGCGGGTTTCAACAATAACTTTTTTATTGTTGTCCCCATACAAAGTTTGGAAATCGGCCCTAGACTGGGCCATTGCTGGGCCAAGAATGTCGATTAATGGCACAGTAATGGGAATTTTCAATGGCCAATAAATGGCTTTAACCTGAGTTGAAAAAAAATAATATTTGTTAAATACAAAACATCTAACCTTTAAAATGTAAAGATACACTACTAACTGACAACTAGCAAATACGTTTGTTTTTTTCTTATACTTACTTTAATTCTTTAACAGCTCCACAGTTCCACGACTTTAAAAATTGTGTTTAAATGTGCACACAAAGAATAATATTTTAAAATTCGTATAAAATTTTTTTACCATTTGTTTATCCGTTGGGCTTGTCGGAAATTTGAGCGCTGAACAGTAATCGGTCATGCGCTGTACGATTGTAGTGCGAGACTCGACTGAGTCGTGGGCTGCACCTTGCACCTGACTGGTTACGGTGCAAAACTATAGTTGTTCATGTGATACACACGAATCAGTAGTTTACCGAAAGTTTATTAGCCGAAAAAAATTGGAAGACAGAACTCATTCGTGTGCGCACTCGAGTCAGTGTTGTTTGACACATTACTGTGGTCGGATTCATGTGCAGGACCGCACTGAGTACCGTGCAAAACTTGATTCAGTCATGTGCGCACATGATTCACTCATTTGCTAACCTGATTTTAGTCTCATTTTTCTTTAGCACCTGACCGAGTCGTGTGTAGAACGATAACCAGTCTGGTTTTATTTTTTCCGTGTATAGACTCCATCGCATACGTACGATTTGATTCGACATTCTGAAGGTAATAAAAAAAATTATCTCGTTAGGTTAAGTTTTGCGGGCGTATTCGTGTCGGATCCACATATAAGCATCCGGACAGGCTCTGAAATTGTTTTTTAATCTATTTTTTTTACGCTAAGTATAATAATAGTCTTTTAAAAATATCAAATTCAAATGAGTTTTTTTGACGTGATAACGTCTCATAAATTGATGAACACCGACAGCGCTCATGAAAAAGTGTCGCGTTCCACCTGAGCCTGTGCGTGCAAGCGAGAGCACGCAACAAGCAACAGAGAGGCACGATCAAACAAACGATAGATAGGCCCAAGCGTTCTCTTGTGACACATATATCTCTCTTCTCGCATGACGTCAGAGCTAGCAGTTGGAATATTGTTCTATAACTCATTGTTTGTGATTATATTTAAACAAATTATTTAAATTATATCAGATTATTATTGTTGATAATATTAATCATTGTTAATAAATAATATTAATTATAAATAAATAAATTAATAATAATTATAAACGATAAATTAATACAATAATTAATATTAATTATAAATAATAATAATAATTATATCAATTATTAAATTATTGTATCAATTTTTGATTAACAATTCATCAATAAGTCCTTTTTTTTGTCAAAATAATTTATAAATATTCAAAATTTTTTAATTTTTAAATACAAAATAATGATATTTCAGTCCCGAGTAAAAATGAAATCATTATTTTTTACGAAAAAATAATAAATTTCGTTCGACCGCCGCACCACCGCTGCACTACCGCCGTTTGGCAGACTATTACGATGCACGCTAAAAATTTACTTTTCCTAGCATCGCCGCATCAATGCTAAATTATGCCTACAATTTCACAAAAAATGGTATCGTAATTAATTTATCACGCAATAATTAATTAATAAATAACCTGACTAGAAATTTTAATGTTAGACCTTATTGTTCAACCTCCTTTTATTCAAATGCCTAATATATTTAAACAAAAAA